AACAATTGAAAATCTCTATGCAAAACATGAACCCTGACCCAAACCTCACACCTTATATAAAAGTTAACTCAAAATGGATCATAGATTCAAATGTAATAAGTAAAATTGTAAAACTTTTAGAAGAAAATCTTTGTGGTTATACAAAGCGTTCTTAGACATCACAGCAAAAGCATGATTTATAGAAGAAAAAAAGTGATAAATGGAATTTACCAAAATTCAAAACTTTTTCTCTGTGAAAGACTATTAGCAGAATGAAGAGTCGTACACCCACTGGGAAAATATACTTTTAAATTACGTATCTGAACAAGGACTTATATCCAGAATAATATGAAGCTCTCTCAAAATCAGCAGGGAGAGAAGAAGCCATTAAAAAGTGGGCAGAAGTCTTGAAGACTTCACCAGAGAGGCTGTAAGGAGGGCAAATAAGGACATAAACAGATGCTGAACATTGTTAGCTATAAGGGAAATGCAAGTTAAAAATCACAGCTGGATAATGCTTACACATCCATTAGAATGACTGAAATACTTTTTCTGTGCTGGTGAAGAGGCCAAGCAAATGAAACTCTCCCACATTGCAGGTGGGAACGCACCATGCAACCACCGCTGGAAAACAGTTTGAGATTCTTATAAAGTTAAACACACGCTACCATACCACCAGCAGTCCCACTCCTGGGTATTTACCCTACAGAGATGAAAACTAAAGTTCTCACAGAAGCCTGTACACGCATATCTGTAGCAGCTCTCTTCCTAATTGCCCATACCTGGAAATAATCCAGATGTCCTTCAGGAGGCGAATGGGTAAACAAGCCGTGGTGTGTCCATACAGTGGAATACTTACTCAGCAGTACAAAGTAACCATTTGGATGAATCTCAAAGGCATTTGAAAGGCATTCTGAGTAAAAGAATCAAGTCTCAGAAGATCATATACTATGTGATTCAATTTATATGACAGTTTCAAAAGGACGAAACTATAGTCATGGAGAACAGAGCCGAGGGATTTCATGATGGAGAGTTTTGGACAATGGAATTGTTCTGTATCTTGATGGTGGTGGTGATTATATGTATCTATACAGGTGCAAAAATCCATAAACCTGTACACACACACGCACACCCCCACACACGCGCACACAAACACACAGAGTCAATTTTACTGTGTAATGATTAAAGACGTAATGTAGGGAACAAAACTCTCAAGTTCCCCCACAGCTCCTCCCTCACTCTGATCTCCTTAGGGGGCTGAAGGCCTTCCCTTCCTCTCCTTACTGGCTTGTTCCCAGTCTCTTGGTGCCCCTTCCAGCCCCTCCAAGTCTCAGCCATCGAGAGGCTGCAGCCCGTCACCCAGGTCTAACCCTGCCTGAGGCTGTGGCCTTGCTCTACACTCTTCTTTGTCAGGAGCAACCCTTGAAATCCACTGAGTTTTGATCTGATTCCCTCAACAAACCAACAAACGACCACGAAAACAGAAGCCACCCTTGACTTCTCTCTTTTTTTCCCCACCTCTGTATCCAGTTCACCAGCGAGTACCGCCAGTTCTGCTTTCAAAACAGACCAAGAATCTAGTTACTGCTGCCGTGGCGGTTCAGGCCATCGCCATCTTAGGCCATAGCTACTGCAACCACCTCTTATCCCATCTCCCTGCTCCACTTCTTCCCTGCTGTTGTCTCTTCTCAACACGGCAATCGGAGTAATCCCACTAGAACAAACATCGGTCCTTTCTCTACTTAAAATCCTCCAAACTTCTTCCAGTGCTTTTAGAACAGAAGGCCTTACTCTGGCTTCCAAAGGCTTCTTGAACTTGCCCTTGCCTGCTTCCCACCCTGAGTCTCCTCCCATTCTTCCTCCTGTGCTGTGCACCAGCCACTCTGACCTTCTTGCTCTTTCTGGAATATGTCAAGCTTATTCCCACTTCAGTGCTATTTTCTCTGCCTGGAACTGGCTTCCCCCAGAAATCGGCGTGATTGCTCCTTCAGATACTTCGAGACTCAGCCCTCAAGTCATTTCCTCAGAGAGAACTTCTCTCACCACTTGTTTTAAATAGCCTCCCCAGCCTTCCAGTCTCTCCATCCCCTTAACCTGATTTATTTTCTCTCAGCGCTTAACCACCTTGTGCCAGCCTTTATTACAGAGGCTGACTTCCCATTGCAACATGGAATCCAAACTCCTTACTGGAGACACTATGTGACCTGGCTGGCTCCTGCCCCTGTTGCAAACACCAAAACCCTTGACTCCTTAGGGGCAATCTCCCCTCGCTGTCCCCTCCAGCCACGCTGACTTCCCTGCGTTCCTGGAACAGGAAAGACATGCTTCTTGCTCAGGATCTTTGCACTTGCCATACCATCTGCCTGGAATGCTCTTCCTCCAGCCAGCTTCCCAGTGTGCTGTCTGCTCAAATGGCACTTAATCAGAAAGCTTCTCTAACCACTGTCTATAAAATAGCAAGCCCTTCCTCACTTGGCATCCCTGTTACCTGATTTATTTTTCAGTGCATTTCTCACATCCTGCTTGGTGTATATATACGTATTTATTTGTTTTGTGTTAGGCTCATCATTACGCTGCCAGCCTGGGAAGAGCAGGGACTTAGTTTAGTTCACTATTGTCTGACTTGGTGAGTCTCAGCTCCTCTCATACGATGCCAATTTGAGGCTGCTTGGATGCAGGGAGGCACTGGGAGGATGGGGCGGGCAGTGTGTGTGTGGGGAGGGGCGGTGCCTGGCAGCTTGGCTGTTGCTCCTTGTCTGTCTTTGTCTCCTGCCTCCTGCGTGTAAGCTCTGTATGGACAGTGACCAAAGGGCAGTGCCCAGCACATAGTGGGTGCTCAGGAATAGTTGTAGAATGAATAAATGAATGAATACATGATGGAGGCCTTTGGATATTTAAAAAGGATTTTACAGTTTTTAAGAGGAGCTTTCCATGTTCAAACCCTAAACTCAGAGTAATAGTATGAATTGGGGGTAGGAAGGTACCTAATTTGGAGGCTCTTTCTGACGTCTTTACATTTGCCCTCAACTAGTAAACACATTTTGATGGCCTTCTATTGTTCTTGTGATAATGATAATATGTTTTAACAGGGCCTGTACCCCTCCTTAGCCACACCGGCTCCCTCTTGCTCTGGGCCTCAGCCACACAACTCTTCTTTCAGTTCCTCCCAAATGCGTATTTCCTCCCCGCCCAGGACCTTTGCACATGCTGTTTCCTTTGTCTGGACCCCTCTCCCGGCCCCTACCCTTCCCATAGTTAACTCTCCCCCTCACCTTCCCGTCTTCACTCGAGCCTCACTTCCCTAACACCTACACCAAGTCGGGCCCCAGGATGTGCTCTCCCACACACCACTGACCATGGTTGTGATTTGACATGTTTGTGTGATTATTTAGTGAAGGCTCCCACGAGGGCGGAACTGTGGCTGCCTTCGCCCCATCGTTCTATCTCCCGGAACCCAGCACTGCCTGGCACGCAAGAGGCTTTTAATAAAGGTTGGTTGAATGAAAACATTAGTTAATTAATGAATGAAACAAAAGCTACTAACTTTTCTGTAGAGCCCTAATTTCAGGGTAAGGCAGTGAAGGCAGTTAAAACAAAAGACAAAGTAACACATTAAGCTCTTAACCCCTCGTCCTTTTAAAATATGAAAGATGTGGTGGTGTACGGGGGATGGAACATGGGGCAGGTGGATTTCTAGGGCCTGAGAAAGGACAGATGAGCTTCTGTGCTGCTGAAACCTGCCACTCCAACCTGAGCAGGCTTCCTCATTGTTTGAAAGTATAATAGGCCCAAACCTTCAATCCAACAATATGGCTGGTGCTCGGGTTTTTTTTTTTTTTTACATTATGTGGAATTTTCTTTGTGCCTTTCTACTAAAACTCAAAGCATAGGAATAAGAATAGAAAAGATCACGGAAATCAGCTCCATGTAAGGTGACCTTCAAGCAGTCAGCTGTGTCCCATTGTGAGCTGCCTGGCCGTGCGGGTGTATCGAGGAGGAAGGGGTTTCCAGAGGCCAAGGCACCACTCCTTGTCAGGATGGTGTGGAGGTGAGTCAACCCCCAGGTAGGGGACGAGGGGCACTGGTCTGGGGACCTTTAATGAGGCTTTCCACCTGGAAACTCCCAGAGTTTCTGCCCATGCTTTCTGAAGTCTAACCTTCAATCTTCTCCCTTACCTGACCTTTGCTGGAAAGATAAAATCAGTTTGCCAATCCTGCTGCCTATTGGAATCACATGGGAAGATTTAAAAATTCTGACACCTAGGCCTTACCTGTGACTAATTAAATTAAAATATCTGAGGTATTGTCCATGTATCAACGTTTTCTAGAAGCTCCCTGGATAATTCTGAAGTGCAGCCAAGGCTGACAACCACCGTGGACATGAAGCATAACAGGATGATTTCCTTTCTCCTTCTTTCCTGTTGTGCCTCTGGTTCTCAGATGGGGTAAAGGCTAATGGGTGTGTGATGGGCAGACTTCTGTGATGGCTGCCGTGGTCCTGCCTCCTGGTATTCCTGCCCTTGTGTAGCTCTGTCCCTTGAGTGTGGGCTAGACTTGAACTCAGCTCTGCCTAACCATCCAGAGGAAAATGGTCAACACAGTGGGAAGGGTGGCGAGGATGAAATGAAAAGTCCTACTTAATCCACAAACTTGGGTGATCTGATGGTGGATATCAGTGACCTTTGCCTCCTCTGGTCTCTCTCTTCAGTCTCCCTCCAACTTTAACCCCAACCCACTGGGGATAGTTGAGGGGTTATCAGCCCTTTGGTGCTCTAAACATCCTTGATAGAACCTTTCTTCAAGCTTCTGGTCCTGCCCTCCTCCTTCTTTTCATCTTCTCTCTACCTGCTGCCTGGTCTGAACTGGGAGCTGGCATCACGGCCTCTCTCTCAGCTAGAGAAAATCCTCCTCTCAAAGGAAGGCCAGTCAGAACCACGTTCTGCACAGGGTGGCCATAAGAAGCTGCTTATCTAGATCATTACTGCACTCGTTACTTTGGTGTGAGCACACGCGCCAGTCAAGGTCTCGTTGGATGCCCTGGCTCTGGCAGCGGGCTACCCTGGCAGAGCCAGTGTGTATTCTCTGAGAGGGGAGGTCCAACCAAGGCTTTCTGACCACTGGGACTCTTGGCATTTCTTTAGGGAAATTGGGATTGCCAGGCTGACTGCTTCCCACTCCCTTAAATTTTCCCCGAGCGTCAGAGGAGCTGCCCTGGGAATTCCACTGCATGTCCCCAGTTCCCCGGCCCTTAGAGCTGACAGCAGCCCTTTTGTTGGTCTAGCTCTCCACTTAGATCATTGAAGCGATTTCAGAGCCAACTGGGCAACACTCAGCGTTTCATTTATGTCTTGGCAAGGTTACCATGTTATTACTTAACTGTGCTGCTGCTACTCAATAAGTGGGAACTGATTGAAATAACCACAGGAGTTGCTGGATTCCCCTAATTTTAGCACAGAGTTGAAGCTCACTCCCACAGTTGGAAGTTAAAATAGGCTGCCAACCCACAGAAATGCCCACCCCCCACACCTAATTGTCACACCGCTGATGCCTGTCATGGAAGGAGACGTGGAAGGCTGCAGAACATTCTTAGAAGCAAGGTTCTTCTCCTTGGCAGATGCTTGAGGTCCTTTTGGCTGGGCTGATGTCTTTCAGAGCCTGTACCTGTGGAAATTTGCGTGACTGCTTAGATACTCCTGTTTTCTTCTGTAATTTGTTTAGCAGCCGGTCTAAGCACAGAGCACACGTTAGAGAAACGGACGAGAACAGAAACTTCTGTTTGGGGGCGCCTCTTTAAATGACTCATTCCTGGAGCCCAGCTGTGTAGAGTGCAATGACCCTGAGCAATCGAGGTAATTTGGAAAGCAGAAAAACGATATGCAATCCATGATAAGTTGTCTTCTCTCGGTGTCAGAGTGACCAACCACAACCCGAATGCTGCAACTTGGTGAAAAATTTGGAGTAAATGGTTTCTTGTGTAACTGCCCCCAAGCCTACCCAATTGTTTTGGTTTCTTACTATTAAAATCTATGTTTTATTGGTTTTAAAGGATTTTGAAGGAATTCTATGAGAAGTTACTTCTCGTAGTGTGCCTGCTGCTTAACATTTCTTATCACTGTGCAATTTTGTGTTTTCTTGCTCCTATTTTAAGTCATAATCTGTCCTCAACATGTTAGCACAGCATAGTTGAGTGACTGTTAAGAGCAAAGTAGAGGAATAGAATGGGGGGATTTTTAGAGAAAGAGAAAGGCTTTATCCACGAGATGTTTCTCGAGAGGACCGTGGGCAGCTCCTGGAGTTCTGTCAGGTCTTCTTTGCCAGGGTTGATCACCCACTCCTACTCTCTCCGCTGCCATGCCACCCCCCTCTCCTAGGCCTCAGAGGCTCCCAGCTGGACTGTCAGGAGCCTCCTGACACCTATTTTGGTCATTAGCGTCATGTTAATCATCTTTAAAGATACCTTTCTCCATGCCACTCTCCTGCCCACAAGTGTTCAGTGGCTTTCTATTGCCCATAGAATCAAGTCTAAATCTTAGGTTTTCAATGAACTACCTGGTTCCTAATGACACGTTGCCTTTAGGTGCCATGTTTTCTTTGTGAAAACTCTTTTCTAGTCCAACTCACCTTTTCCATAACACACCTGTTCAAACTTACCTCCGCACCTCTGTCAACTTGTACTTCACAAATGCCACGTCTTTCCTCTTCCTGCCCACCTTGCTCAGTCCCGTCCAACCTCCTTACCCGTCCAAGGCTTAGCTCTCCTCTCTGCTCCTGAGTGGAGCCCTTCCTAACTATTCTCAAAATACGGTGATCTCCCCATTTTTGGATTTCCCTGAGTATTTTTTGTGCAGTTATCATGCTAGTGCTTGCTTTTTTCAGCTAGACTCCTCGAGTATCCTACCAGTTGTAACTATTTGCTAATAGATTATTTTTTTCAGAATCAATATTTTGAATATCCAAAATGGGTAGGAGAATATGGTTCCAAGGAAAGATAAGGGAGACACAAATAAATGAATGGACAATTTTGTCTACAACATGATGTTTTCAGTGTTGGCTGGCTGCTCTCTAAAATCTATTGAAATTCCCATCGTGGGAATTGCTGTGTGACAAGCATCTGCTGCGGCGGCATTGGGACCGCTTGCACGTGGAATCACAGTTCTTGCCTTTCAGGAACCTATGATGGTAAGAAAGAGACTTGGGCTGACTCATTTTCTCTAAAGCAGCAAGGAAATCAAGTCCATGACCACACTTGTTCACATAGTTACTGAGTCAGGCCAAGCTCAGAACTAAATGATGAAAATGAAAATTAATCAGGGACTCCCATGGGTGTCACATATGGCAGTTTTGAATCTTTTTTTTCACTGTCATAATTGTTTTTCTTACTCGTTTTCTTTGGTTGAATACACACCTGTAAAAAAAATGGGGGCAGTAGAGATGATAGAAATAGATAAACCCATGGAAACAGTGGAACATCTACAGAGATTAAATTAGAAAGGAAGGAAGCAAAGGGATTTGAGTGTCTCTGTGCAGAGCGTGGTCACCTTTCCTTGCCGAGACCCCTGGACCAGGTCGTCTGACTAGGTAGCAGGTGCTTCCTTGACTCACACAGAAAAACCACCCTGGGCCTCTTGCTCTGTTGAGGCGAGTCACATCTGGTATGTAAACACCATGCTCTGCTCCCTCTGTCTGTCCTTCCCAGAAGACAGAAAAATGATTAAGTTGTTGAGAAAGAGTCAGAGAGAAGTCCTTGGACCTTTTCTTAACTCATAGAAATTTAAAGTAAAAACCCTTCTTGACATTATAAAGTAGGTTATGTCCCCTTTATTGAATTTTTGTGGAAAAACCAATCGCGATAGAAAACAAGCCATCATATAAAATATCATGCCCCAGAACATCATTTACCTTGGTAGAACAGAATCCCTTTAATGTACAGAAACCTTTGCTTTTCCCACTAGTTAGCAAATAGCATTAAGCGTGACTCAAGTCAGATTTTAAAAACTTGTCTGGTGCCTTTCATTAAGACTTGAAAACTGTGTAAGACTCTTGCTCCAGGAAACCGTGTTCTGACATTTTAATAGCATTGCCTTAGTAAGATGAGAGAATATCCAGGAACTTAGATTCATAGAAAGTAAATCAAGAATTCATCCAAAATGGAGTGCCTTCTTCTGAGTGATGGGGTGGTTTTTATGTGAGATGTCAATGGAGCTTCTACACTTGACATGAAAGTTCCCATTAAAAAAAAACTAAACTACTGCTCAATTTTTTTAATCAAGCAGAGTTATCTAAAGTGCTTTTTAGAAGAGACTATCAGGAAAGAACCGGAAAGTAGTCATTATGACTAATCAACTGCAGGGGTTGAAGGAACCAATATTGGCGGAGGGCCTTCAGGGCCCCGGGGACCTCTCAGACAACTCGAATTCCTTCCATTGTTTGAACTGGTCCTCTGGAAGGGACACAATGAGTTAACACGCACCAGAACTGATCGAATGTCCTGCCAGCTGGTAGTTTACTTTTGTACAGGAAGGCTGTTTTTCTTATGCACAATTCTTTGTTGTGCTAAAGAGACATAAATATATAAAAGCCTAAAAGTAAGCCTTCAGTTCTTTATGTCTGGCAAAATTGTCAGTACAGTGTGCCTTGAGGATCTATCCACCGTGCTTGCCTTGCAGGCTCGCTGCGAACAAGTAAGATCATACTATAATAACCACCCCATACACTTTACAGTTTATAAAGAGCCTCCACAGATGTTTTCTCAGTTGCACCTCACAACGTCAGTGGGAGGCAGGGAAGGCAGATGTTATTATCTCTTGAGAGGGCGTGGCCCTGTGGCTTTTGTTTTAGGAAGACTGAGTTTATTGTGTTGTATTTTCAAGTATTTTATATTGTACAGGGATATTTATAATAAGGAAAAATGGAAAGCTACCTGAATGTTCCTGAATAGAGGACTGATGAAACCATGCCACGGGCCTGGATGGAATACTATACAGCCGTTAGGAATTTTGACTTAGAGGTATTAGAAGCAAATCCATTAGTGCTGAAGTATATTTATGGATGAAAAAAATGATTCATAATATATTTAAGCTGGTAAATGATGTAGGATGATCTCTTTGTGATAAGAAAAAATGTGATGGTAAAATAGTGCTTACCTCTGTGTGCTGAGAATATGTGTGATATTTGTTTTCTTTCTCATGCTCATCTATCACTTCCAACTTTAATGTAATTAAACAATGTGCGACTCAACATTTTCAACCAGATTAACTTTTATAACAATAATTAACGGAGCAGGTGCAGCTCTACCTTGGGGCCTCATGGGTGAGGTGAGCCCTACACGTGGAGGTGAATCAGCCATCTTCCCGGCAGGGACCTGAGTTCACCCAGATGGTGGAAATGCAGAACGTGAATTAAGGCACAGTTTACGGTGGTGTGAAAGGGGTTAGGGGAGCAGACAAGGATGACAAGGCACCCAGACACCAGGAGTGGTGGGAAGCCACAAGCTCCCCTAGGCCAAAGGGACAAGAGGAGGAAATAGTCACTGGAGCCCAGGGGTGGGCATTGTGGAGGAAAGCCCCTTGGCAGAAGCTGTAGTGGTGAAGGGTCACAGCCCTGTCAGACGCCAGTGAAGCAGGAAAGAAATCCTCCGACCCCTTTCCTCCCACCCTCTTATTTCCTGCTGCTGCCTCCCATTGACCAAGCCCAGCCAGAAGCCAGCTGGCAAGGGAGTCGGGGTCAGCAGTCCATAGAGGTTAGCCCCCTGGTGCACAGAACAGGAAGAGAAGGGCAGGAAATGGGTCTGACGTTGGGCATGTGCAGCAAACACAGGGAGCAGAACCCCCCACCCCGGTGTCAGTCCCCTGGAGAAAAGGGGTGTCTCTTGGTCAGGAAACTGAAACAGAAAGGAAGAGCCTGTTGGGGCAACCTGAGGTGAGGAATCTGATTTTTCTGCCTGTGCTCAGAGCTTCAAAAGCCTGGGGATGGGATCAGAGATCACGTGGCCCAAGGTGAGCGCAGACTTCTTTGTGGAATGTTACACCGAGATAAAATTGTGCGTTCCTGGATACCAATAACACCCTCCCTGCTGCCTGGGCAGAAAAAGGGACTGCTGGGGAGAGGAAGACCCAAGTCATCCCAAATCTTCCGAGCCATTTCCTGCTGTCCCATGTCCTCTTCCACTTCAGTGGCCTCAACACCAGCCCCAAGTGAGAGTGGGACTCAAGTAACAGTGGCAGCTCACATTTACTGAGCACTTCCCAGGTGGCTGGCACTGCGTGCTCCAAACACTCGACATGATTAACTCACTTAAGTCTCTCAACAACCCTATGAAGGAGGTAACATTGTTTACTACTCTACTGAGCAGCTAAGAGCTTGCATAATGGAGCCAGACCATCGGAGTTTGAATGCTGCCTCTGCCATTTCCCTGGTGTGTGACTCAGTTTTTTCATGTGTAAAATGGGGACAATAATAATGTCTACCTCTCGGGCTCAGGAGGAGGAATACATCAATAAATACGAGTGAATTGTTCTGAGCTGGGCTTGGCGCATAACAAGCAGTCAATATATGTTAGTTGTTATCGTCTTCAGTTCCCACACAAGGCAACTGAGGCACAGAGATGTTAAGGTAGTTGCCTCAAGTCACAGAGCTGATAAGCAGCAGACTTGGGACTCTAACCAGGAAGTAGGGTTCCAGTATTATACAAAGGAGCCCACTCTTTTGCTCCCTGTTACTTTGAAGCAGAGGGCCTGGGATCACCTCCTCGGGTTTGAAGTCAATGCACTCTCTCTGCCTGCCTAAGATGCAAAACAAGTCCCTCACCTTCTAGAACACCCTCCCCATTGTGCAGTGGACAATCTGCAGAAGCCCCATCCTTCCTTCAAATCTCCCTTCCTCCAGGGTGCCCTCCTGCGGGTGGGTAGACCCCCAGCAGTAGGCAGCTGGTGGGGAGGGGCAGACCAGTAGCTCCTTCTGAGTCCCCTCTTTCTTGAGATCAGACAGAACGGAGAGCGGAGTTGTGGGAATTTCAGGGCCCGCATCAGCCAGGTGGGTCCTCACTTTCCAAAATGTGCACCATGGAGAGCAAGCGTGTGCTCCAGCTCAGTTGCCTGCTGTGGGCAGAAGGAGAGGATGGGGAGACCCCTCCTTGCGTGGAGCATGTCAAGCACATTGCTATCATCAGTTAATCTGCCTTCATTAGTTAACCTGAGAAGGGTCAGGAGCTGTCAACTGGGCAAGGTAATGAGGAAAAGCCGGCACAAGATGTCCAGGTAACTGACAGAGCTCAGACTGGAGCTCACGAATTCTTTAAGCCTGGGCCACAGCATGAGCCCTCCTGCTCTTTATTTCATTTCTTGGAAACTAGTTTACCTGCCTCTCTTTCTTGGCCTCCTTTTAGACAGCAGCTTTATAACTAGATTTTTCGTCAGTCTCATCTTTCATTTCACACTGAAATATGATCACTTACCACCCACAACAGAACAGGCTCAAAGCTGTGCCACCAGCGAGTTGAAAGGCCTCAATGTAATGTCTATGGCTTGTTGAAAACACAATAATCAAGTGGCCATTCAACAAATCTCGTTTTATTCCTTTTTTTTTGGCCTGGTGTTCAGTGTACATTGAAATAATATGAATGCAACCCCATGTCCTCAATTTTACAGATGCCTAGTAACCAAAGTCAAAAGAGATTGCTTCGTGTTCATGAAAAACAGAAACTCCTCCAAATACATTGCACACAAGTGGAAAGTGTATAATTTAAGTTTGCACAATGTTGATTCAGGTGCTGTGTTTCCTCTTTACTCATCTTCATAAAGTCACTTTCAGGAAAGGAGGCATTTAGTCAATTACAGCAGTTCTTTACTTGAAACTAAGCTGGGTCGCGGACGCTGCCCCTGCAGTGCCCGGGCTGGAGCCTGGCATCTGGCCTGGTGAGAGTAGGAGGAGATGCAGAGGTGGATCTGGACTCAGTTTCCTCATTTGTCAAACAGAGGGGTTGGCCTGGCCTTAGATAATTTCTGAAGTTCCTTCCAACTTCAAAACTATGTTTTTCTCACTAGCTCTGGACCTACAACTTTAAAATATGTGGTGAGTTGTGTTCTGAGTCTTTAATTAATCAGGAAAATGCTCTTAGATCGGAACCAAATGTGGTGGCATCAAGAGCTGAATGGCAGACGTAGAGTAGGGTGGAGGCTGAAACTCTGCTGCCCATAGGATGATTTTCTGCTCATTAGAAAATGTGCCCTTCTTGGGGGGAAGTGCCTCTCAGGCACATGGCTTAGTGAGCTGACAGTCCTTTCTGGGAATTAGGAATAGGCTCCCCTTCCTCTGGGCAGATGCGGCCTGTGCCAGGGGGCTCTGCTTAGTGAAAGAAGGCCACCTACTCCTCAGCCAAGCCCCCTGTGCAGGGCACCACCTGCACAGCCCACCTGAAGGTCAGTGTGATGGGTGTCTCATCCATTGGCAGAATCTACAATACCTCAGCGGGAAACTGATTTTTTGTGTTCTCTAAACTCTTTTTTACCTCAAAACAAGAGAGTAAGCAAACTAACAAAAAAACCAATGGTGCCATGTGAGTAGAGATTGCTTAAATCACAACACAGGGACTTCTCACTTCACAGGAAAAGTATGTTTTGTGAATAGGTCTCAGAGCGTCTTATCCCAGGTTCTCTCAGATGGTAAAGCCTGAGAAAGGAGGGTGAGGCAAGTGGTTTATTTGGGAAACACAGGCACCAGGAATGGGAGACTAAAAGATGTCAAGCAAGATGGAGGGAAAGCCAGCCCAAGGTGCTTTGTTGAGATGGTTTCTATGGTGGTCAAATGGGGCTCCATCCTTCTTGGACCTTTGAGGACTGTCCTCTCAAGGAATGGAAGAGAGTATCATTTCCTGTCTCCTGGCACCAAATGGTCAAGTGTTGCCCCTGTAATGTTAACTCCTCAAAAATCCGGGTGTGCCTATATGTCAGAATGGTTCAGTTGATGGTGGTGCAGGCAGAGGCACTGGGTCAAAGAAGGCAAACCCAGATCCGTTTCTGGTAAGGCTAAGTCACTGCTCCCTGTGGGATAGAGGGCATCTGGTGGAAAAAACCTACCACCAAGTGACTGGCTGGCGTCCTTCAGGGATGCATGCCATATGGAGTGTTCTGTGTCAGTCTCTCTGGTGACAGGCACATATTCAGTATAGCAGTTGCTAGTCTGGTCTTGGTGAGATGGCACTCATGCTGCTGGGGCCATGCAGATCCTATATCCCTGCTCCATGTCCCCTCTGTCATGCAAGTTCTGGAGCTGCTAGGGAGAGAGGCTGGCTGGCATCCTCAGGAAAATCCTGTCCACCTAGTGGTTCTGTGCTGTACCTGCAGGGGAGGTGCTCTGGTGGGCCTGGATATGAGCCAGAGATCCGTGTGCTATGTCTCCAGGACCATAGATCCATCTACATAATTTTCTCCACACTTTATCTCCTTGTCTCCAAACTTTAAGTTTGCTCCTTTGAGGCTCCTGACCCAACCAGCAAGCCATTCGCCACTGCCCATGGGTCCAGATATACCATTAACACAGACTGCTTCTCCTGCCCTCAAAGTGAGTGAACCAGTGCATTGTTTACAGCTCTGCTCACGGCGAGGAGTGACCTCCACTGTCCTTCAGGGCCACCCAGAATGAGGCTGTAGTCTGATGGAGGCCCATTTTTTGTTAGCACCAACTTGTCAGGGCAACCCGGACAAGGTTGAGGTGAGCTAGGTCCAAGTTTTTTTCCCCTTGGTTGATTGTAGTAAATTATAAGGCCTTACGTATGAACTGAGGGAAGCAGGTAGATAACACGGGAATCTGAGGCAGGTGGAATTTACTTGTGCCCTCTGTATACCTTCTGGCCCACACCCCAGTGAACTGTTTCCATTGCATGACACATTCCTGCTGTGCGTGCCCAACATTGTCTGTCTGATAATACCCAGCACATAATGGGCAGTTCTGGCCACATGGTCACCTGATGTCCTGTAGTCAGGCTCCATCTCTATCAGGGCTCAGGAGCTGTTTTTCAAGTTGTTTATAGTTTTCTGCTGCAGAAGGAAGGACTCTGGGACTCTAGGATCTGTGCTGCAACTCCCCTTATTGGGTTTGGCAGAGACTACACACACATCTTTATTTGCAATAAATAGCACCATTAGCTCTGCTGGTTATGTGGCCTGAGTGACAGGACCACTTGTACCACAGCCCAGACCTGCTGCAGATCTTGCTCTGGCACTCAAAACTGGCAGCCTTCCAAGTCACCCAATAAATGGGTCAGAGCAGTATTTCGAAGAGTAGTATATGCTGCCTCCTATTTCTGAAGATTTTTAGTGGTTTTAATACATCACCTCAAAATTCTTTGAAACTTGCCATCAAGAGATGGGGTCCATGTCCCCTCTTCTGGAAGCTGGCTAGGGTTTACGTCTTCAACTAATAGGAGATGGTGGAAGATATACCACATGACTTCTGAGGCTGGGTCATAAAAGGCCATGTAGCTTCTCCCTCATTCATTGGGACACTTGCTCTTCCAACAACCCTGAAGCTGCCCTACTGAGAAGAAGTCCAAGCCACATGGTGAGGCCGTATGTTGGTGTTTTTGTCGACAGCCTTCACTGAGCCTAGCCTTTTAAGTCACCCAGCCCAAGCACTGGAAATACAGGTGAAGATGACTCCATAAGATTCCTGTCCAATCTGAGTCACCCAGAGGCACTTGAGTTTACCCCCTAAGGCTCCAGCCAGGCTCTCTCAACTGAAGTTCCTCATCTGAGCTGCAGAAGAAAGAAAATGGTTTTAGTGACTATTTTCTCAGTTCACCCAAGTATGGTATGTAACTAGTACCATTCTAGATACACGGGAGAGAAATTAACTCATTACATACAAATAGATGCCTTAGGGCATTAGGGCTTAATTCTATCATGGAACCACAGTTTAGAAATCTGGCAGAAATCAAGAAATAGAGACAAAACATTCCTGGTGTGTCTTGTCCGAATTCCTGACCCACAGAATCCATGAGCATAGCATTGTTGCTGTTTTGCATCGCTAAGTTTTGGGGTGGTTTGTTATGCTGAAATAGAGAACTGGAATAAGGTACAAGACCTAATGTCTTCTCCTTTACCTTGAAGATGTTGTACCAGCACCCCCTGGATCACTGGACTCCTAAAAATGTCATTGATGGGGCAGGTTAGAGAATCTTTGTGGGGTTTCATTCCCACCCTGTGACATACAGGTTGCTGTTTCTGTTTACTGGGTTAAATTTGCATGATGTCGTCCATCTAGTGTTCCAGCATGCTTACGGAATATCAAGGCAATTATGATCCCTGCAGACTGTTTTGTGACATTGCACAAGAAGCTTTGCACAGCCTTAAGCAAGGCTATGAGTGTGTGCTGATGTCCTTCCCACTTAAAGGAGACCTGCTTTTGATCCTATTTATTCACGAGGTGTTGAAAAGAACATATTCGCAACATACGGAGGGCCAGAGGCTGCGTTTTAGTAAAGATGTCATATGTAGCTCAGCAACTGAGATTGGGGCTACCCCTTGGTTAAGCTTATGGTAGTCCACTATCATCCACCATGATCTGTTAGTTTATGTTTTCAGGGGCCATGCAGGTGAATTATACAGGGATATGATGGAGACCGTCATCCCTACATATTTTGTCTTTGATGCTCACATGAATTCTCTTTTAGGATGCAGTGCTGACTTGGGTTTACTCTCTTGGCTGGTGGGGTTGGGGTTGGATAGTTTCAGAGGCTTCCACTTGGCCTTCCTACTCTAGTGACTCTTACTCTGTAGGTCAGGGAACCAGTGGGAGGATTGTGCTGGCTACTTTGTTTATCCATCCAAATTATGCACTTGGGAAGTGGGGAAATAACCACAAGGTGGGTCTGTAGACCTATTGGATCTACTTTGTATAAGCTCTCAATTTTTTTCCAATTCTACAAGTCAAGTACCACCCTGGTTGGCTGTTCATCTGTCTCATCACTGGCAACACTCTGGCCTTTTAGCCACTGCCACAGATTCCTGAGGGGCGAAGCATCTTCCAACCTAGTTGCCCGTTACAGTAATCACATATACCAGAATTGCCACCTGGCCTCTGACATTCCAGAATCCTATCATCCTGATGGATGCTAAGGTGCCCAGATCCATGGCAGCATCTCCTCCTATTAACTCTGGTTCATAGGGGATAACCACTATTGGAGTTTCTCAAGGGATGCTAGTGCTTTCTTCATCAGTGCATTTCTTATTTCTGTAGTGAAAGGAATGTCCTCTGAGACTTCCCAGGGAGTACAGACAGATGGAGAGTTCTATGATCACAGTAATAAATCCATTTTAACATTTCCATCTCCCTTTGACCCGTCCTCTTTAGTGTGCCAAAGTCATTCTAGCAACTCTGCCGTGTTTACTATAGTCCATTGTATCCAAGCTTCAACGAGTCATGCCAGCAGAGTGTTGTGACTGGATTCTGATGTTTTTGCCAGGATGTTAAATCCTGAGTTAGGGAAGGATGCTCCCATATCAACGAATTCTTTCCATCTATCTTCATATTCAGGGCTCCCTTGTCCAACCCTCTCAAAATGCGCTTCCATGTGTGTTTTGCTGATTTCTCCCAATGACTATTTTCCAGATCTTGCAAGTGTTTTGCAACATAAAGAGAAGGCATTGTGTTTCCTGGGTCAGGCTGTGCTGAGACCTGACTCCAGTGATTAGTAATGGGAGGAGGGCAAGGTCAGATCTTGAGGAGGACAAGCATTGTCTTATGAAGCACCTGTCTCAGATGAGGCCATGGCAGTGTTTCCACATTAGGGGAGGCTGTTTTACTCTAGAAAGGGGGAGATCGTATTTTGAGTCCAGAGTGGATGACAAGATATATTTTTTCTTGTCTGTTACTCGTTCCCTATTTCCTCTTTGCTCTATTTCTGCCTTCTTTTAGGTTGACTATTTTTTAGGACTCCATTTTATATTCTTTATTGTCTTCTTAGCTAAACTCTTTGTTGTGTTATACTGTACTTCACACATAGCTTAAGCACCCTATAATAGGATACATCCATTTCTTCCCTCCATGGCTTTGTGCTGTTTTTGTCATACATTTCCTTTATATACATTATAAACCTTACTTTACATTTTTTGATTAAACAGTCAATTATCTTTAAGAGAGATTTAAATAATTTTTTAAAACATTATATACTTACCTATGTTACACCCATTTCCAGTGTTCTTCATTCCTTGGCATAGATCCATATTTCCATCTGGCATCATTTTTCTTTCTGCTTGATAGGTTTCCTTTAACATTGTTTGGAACATGGATCTGCTGGTGACAAATTCTTTCTTCTTTTTTATGTCTAAAAAGTCTTTATTTTGTCTTCATTTCTTTAAGGTATTTTCACTGGGTATAGAATTCTAGGTTGACAGTATTTCATCTTTAAGGATGTTGCCCACTGTCATCTCACTTTGCATTGTATCTGATGAGAAACTGCTGCCATTCTTATTGTCATTGTTTTTCCTCTATACATAATGTGTCTTTTTCCTACGACTGCTTTTTACTTGTTCTCTTTATCTTTGGCTTGAACAATTTGTTTATGATGTTCCTTGGTTTAGTTTCTTTATGTTTCCTATGCTGGGCTTTGATTCTTTTTCCATTTCTCCATCTGCTTGGTTAGACGAATATTGGACCACTTGAAGTAGTTCCAAAGATCAGTCAGTCTCCATTTTTTCACTCTATCTTTAATTGGGCATAGTGTCTACTGCTATTTCTTAAAGTTTCTTAGTTTTTTTCTACAATGCCCACTTTTCTATTAATTCCATCCAGTGTAAATTTTTACCTCAGAAATTGGAGTTTTCGTCACTAGAAGCTCAATTTGGGTCTTCTGAATATCTCCCCTGTTTGTACTTCACTAGTTGGTCACTTGCAATACCGTTTTAATACTTGAATGTCCTTGTCTGTTAATTCTAACATCTGTGTCAGTTCTGGATTGGTTTTGATTAGTAGTTATTTCTCTTCAATTATTGGTTATATTTTCCTGCCTCCTTGCATAACTGGTAAGTTTTTACTGGATGCCATACTTTTTGAATTTTTCTTTGTTGGGTACTGGCTATTTTTGAATTTCTATTCTTGATCTTTGTTCTGGGATGCAGTTAAATTGCTTGTAAACAGTTTGCTCCTTTTGGGTCTTGTTTTTAAGATTTGTTAGGTGGAACCAGAGTTGTGTTTAGTCTAGGGTGAATTATTTTTCATTACTGAGAAAAGAACCTTCTGAGTACTCTACCCAGTGCCCCATGAATTATGAAGTTTTTAGTCTGGCGGGTGGAAACAGGCACTATTCATGTTTCTGCTCCCTCTAATTTTTTTGGGTGGTACCTTCCTCATTGGGTAGTTTCCTCACATGCATTCCTTGATCAGTACTCTGCTGAATATGCAAGGGGGACCCTCTGTAGATGTCTGGTGTTCTTACCCTGTGCAGCTATCTTCTCTTCAGTAGTCTGTCCTGCAAACTCTAGCTGTCCTTGTCTCCAGGAATCATCCCTGTCTTCTCTCTGGGAGTCCACTGGACCCTTGTGCCAGAATCGCCCTTCCCACTATGGGGACTTGAAAACTCTCTCAAGGCAGTAAGATTGGTTGAGCTTATTTTATAGGAGCAATTGCTTGTTCCCCTTCTCTTGGGAATCACTGTTTTTTGTTGCCTGGTATCCAGTGTCTTAAAGACTGTTGTTGCACATATTTTGTTCATTATTTTGGTTGGTCCAGGCAGAAGGGGAAGTCTGGTCTCTATTACACGTCTTAGCCAGTAGTGGAGTATCTCTGTCTTTAAAATATCCAACACAGCATTTGACCTTTCATTTACAGAACATTTGCAAAGATCTTGAATGCAGAAACCTAGCTGAATTTATCTTTGGAATTCTAGATGACTGACACAGGACTTTGCATATGGTAGGTGCTTGGTAAATGTTGGTAAATTGAGTTGCAATAGGACAAGCAGGTGAGATTTTTCCAAAGGGATATTTTGTGTCTTGTGCGAGAAAGAAATATCTAACTAGGAGTTCAATAATGGAAACTTTTAAAAGAAGTGGTGATCTTGTTATGACAGGAAGTGTTCAAGCAGAGTGAGGGTGCTCATTTGCTGGGAATCAGCATTTCTGTATCATCCAGAGAAAGCCTCAGTCTGATGCCAGTTTTCCATTAACACTTCTCAATCTTATTCTTTGCCAACTGTGAGAAATTATAAAAATAATTATTAAGGACTCTCTCTGGATTAATTACTACTTAATTGTGAATGACTCTCTCTCTAGATTAATTATATAAAGGATATTTCCCTCTAAACTTGTCTACGGCTATACTCTCTATTATCTATAGAACATCGGATGACAAGGAAGCCTGGATACTATTGTCTCCAGTTGGCTGATTGAGAAATGGAAATACACACAATTTAGGGGACTTGTTTTAAGTTACACAGTCAACTGTAGAACCAAGCTAAGAACATAGGTCCCTAAATGCAAGACAGTATCCTTTCCCTGTGGCAATGCTGCCCCAGGATACCAAAGGAGGTTTAAAAAGTCCAATTCTTATTTTTTTAAAAAGTAGTCAGGAACAGAGATAGTAGAACAACTGTAGGATTCAGATAACATGACGTGTGTTTGCACCATAGAAAGTAAGACTGAAATTGGCGTTGTTCTGCAGCAGAGGTTAAACAATAAGACAAATAAGAGCAGGGATCCCCAAGGTCCTGGTGATCTGCAGATTCTAGGCAAGCACTGAATTAAATCGGATAAGCAGGGGTTCAAGTGAGCTAGACAGTTTTCAAAGTAAATAAAACACATCCAGTAACACAATCTCATTTCAGGTTACAGAGTTTCTGGATAAAGGAGTTTTAGATAATGAGGCAGCGTAAACAAACACCAGGGACGTGGAGGAGGAACTAACTGAGAAGATTCAAGTAACAAGGAAGCTGGCATGTCTAACCACATTCTGTTTGGCGTCGGATGATTAAATTTTCAAAATTCACTGAGGTAGGGTGGTGAACCGGATAGAAAATGCTGGGTAGTTAAATAATCTCTCTAGCCTATGTCACTGAGTGTCAAAATAGTGTTGCAGTTTATGAATGCCTTGGGAAGGCAGGACAGAGTAAAGGCTATAAAGGATAAGACTGGATCATCCTGCTTGTTACGGAGGAACAGGGAGAGCGGGGAGGCGGGTGAAGGGAGCAGGGGGCTAAAGGGCTTTATGGGGTGTGAGAATTAGCATTTAGGCTCAGTTGCACTCCCACAGCACAATGGGAATGGGAGCGAGAACTAAGGGACTAAACAAGCCTGGATTATTGAGCAGGAATAGCAGATCTGGTTAATATCAGTGGTCTCCATCCACCGCCACCACCTCCACCGCAATTACCACCACCACCTCTCCCCCTGTCTTCGAGATCCAAAGCTCCCTCACCTTCCAGCTAGGAACTCCATGACTTGAGATCTAGTAGCAGAGGCAGGGCTCTGAAAATGGGGAGCAAAGGGGATAAAAGGATCAACGAGCCCTGGAGAAGAAGGAGAAGTAAGGATGGTCCATTCAAGAGGGCAAAGGGGTAAGTCCTTGGTCAAACTGGAAAAGGGAAGATAGTGGATGCGGGCAGAGGCTCCATTTCTGACTTCTTTGATGACCTCTGTAATGTGATATTTCTCCCATGGGTTGAAGGCAGCAGGAATATGACGTAACTTTTGTGAGAAAAGTATTCCCTTTTTGATTGCCTTTCCATATTCTGAATAAGTCTAGACAAAGCCACAGTTTGGGGCCGGTTTTCCCTTAACACCTCTCCAACGTTACCCAATCTTCCCCATCCCCTTTCCCTAACAAAGAGGGAAGAGGCCTTAGTTTAAGAGCGTGGTAGGCAACTGAGTTAGCTAGAATTCAATCACAATGCCTTGTTTTCCTAGTTATTTCTATTGATGGCAAATGATCTGGTGTTAAATTTACACTAGTTTATGTTTTCTTTAAAATGAAATTTGAAAAACGAATTTATTGTTTTGAAAATCAAGCTGGGTGATTTGAAACTAATTACCAAACAAAATTCATCATTGACCTAAATGTCAAGAAGATGGAACTAAACCCTGGCTTGGGAATCAGGACCCCAAGTGGGGTTTGGGGTCATAGTGATTTCATTGTCATTCTTATCAATTAAAGACAGATAGCTGCTGGCCAGAACTCAGCATGAGATGTCCAAAGTTTTAGCATATTAAGTTACTAAAGTTCTAGTCGAAGGCAAAGAAATAAGGTATTTTAGTGAGCCTCTGCCACCTTAACACACGTATAAGCTCAGAAATGGTGAAGGGTCCTGTGAAGACCTCCATCCTTAAAAGGGCTTTCTGATGCCAACCACTGGAGTGGATTATTTCTAAGGGATCTTCTTGTTCTAAAATGCTGTGCCAAGTATTCAGTCCAAAGGCCAGCAAAGGCAATGATCTGATAAGGAGGAATAGTGACAGATTATCACATTACGATCTCATTTTCTTTACCTTACCTACCTATCAAGTAGGTAGCCTGGAAGGAATCTACTTGAAACAGAGGTCAGGTGCCAAGCATCACCATTTCCCTTGTCAGCTACGTCCCTCTCCCCCAAGAAAACTTTTGTCATCGCAAGTTTTAGATGTTTTTTGAAGGTCAAAGGCATTGAGGCCTTAACTAGATGGGCAAGGGAAACAAGCTGGTTGGCTTTTATTGGCCTGCTTTTGGCCCTGAAGGGAGGGACTGCACCTCCCGCCTCTGTGAGGCTTCTCCCCGTCTGCCTGCCCAGAGAATTTCCTATCTGTAGAATTCCCCAGAGACCATCACTTCTCTGCATTCCCGGGAAAATGACAGGGGTTAGGATAGGTGCTTTAGAGACTGACAGCTGGGGTTCAAATTTCAACTCCCCTAGGGAGCCTCCATTTTATTTAAATTTTCACATTTGTCTAGCATAATAACTCAGCGAGGTAGGTTCAATTTCAGGGCAGTTGCTGTTACTACAAAACCTTTGTGTGAATTAGAAAAGCACACACCCCTTTCCCTAATCTAAGTCACACACACACACACACACACACTCTGTGTCCTCAGAGCCAATGCAATCTCCCAGTCCAGGGGCTTGGCAAGCAGAGCAGGGAGAAGATTCGGCACCCACCTGCCCCTTCACTGGGTGCTTTTATGGAGGGCTCAACCTAAAAAAAAAAAGAAATAAAGCTAAAAACCTAGAAGCTCCCCGTGATAGACAGGGTTGAGACCCAATGAATTAAAAGGAGAGTCTTTGGAATCAGACAAATCAAGGTGAAATCCTGGCTCTACTCTTTACCATGTGGTTTCCCTCGTCTAAGCCTCAGATTTGCTGTTTGTAGAAGGATGGTTGTCATGCAGCGCCTTCCAGGTTGTGTGGCTGTTAAATGAGGGGTGGTATGTACTCCGTGGTTTCTCCAGGGACATCTCTGTTCATGCCTAGCTTGGCATGGTGCCTGGCCCCTAATGTGGATTCAGTAGATGTGACTGCCATGACTGTGGGGTTGGGAAGCAAAGGGACCTAACGGGGTCATGGGCCAGCCCCAGGGCTGTGAACTCTACATCCATCACCTTGTGTAATCCTGGCCCAAAGTGTGGCTGCTTCTCACAGATGCAGAAACCCAGGTCCAGGGAATAAATCATCTTGCCAAGGGCATCAAGAGGGAGAGCTGGGATTGGAGTCCTGTTCTGTCTGTCTGCAGAATCAAAGTCATGGTGGATTATTCTGGAATAATTGATACAGAAGTGTTGGTACCAGGGAGAAGAGCCCTTGTCTGTCCTGCTTTGAACTGCTGGCCTGAGCCACACAGTAAAGGACAATGAGGAGCTCGCAGCTGGCTGGGGCAGCTCAGAGCCTCTCAGGTGAGAGCTTAGTGGTGGCTGGTGGGCAAGGAGGGAATTGTAGGGAGAGGAGATGGGCAAGAGGCCAGGAGCAGAGGGGGAAAGGGAGAGAAAATCCCTTTATATGGCTGGGGTAAGGAGATGACATATGCCAGCCCGTACAGCAGCCGGTAGACAGCAAGTATTCAATAAATGTTATGTTACCTTTTTCCTCTTTCAGAGTGGCCTCCTGCCCCCAAGATAAGGGCAGGGGTCCATCCTCTTTGGTGGGACACATCTGTTGGCTCGTCTGCCCGTCCTTCACCTTTCTGGACATGGCTCCCCATCCGCATGGTCACATGAACAGCCATGTTCATACAACTTCCCCTTTGGTCCTTGGGCGATTCAGAAGGGGTATCTATGGGACAAAAATAGCCACTCTGACCCGTGAGATTTGACTTTGTTTTTCATGTATCTTTGCTTTTATGAAACTAGGTAATCTGCTACGCCAGATACGACTGCATTTGGACACTGCACCAGGGCCCAGGGCATTCTAGACCCCTGCCTGGGAATGCCCACCTCTCCTAACGAATTAGAAACTGGCGCTGGCAGCTTCCCTGCTAAGTAAAAAAATTACATAATTCCTTCTGCACCACTGCATTAGGCACATTTTTTTTTTCTTTTCCTGAACGTACAGTAAGTCCCAAGTGGTTTAAGCCATGGTGCTTCTCTTCAAACACGACATGAAATCACTACCAAATTTAAATAAAAAATAAATTCCATGTTGTGCTAAGAGCTCCTCCTGCCAAAAACTCTCACACAATTAACACACTAGCAGAATGTGTTGCTAATTTCATGCCACTGGAGTCTTTTCTACTTCAGAATATAGAAGCAAAATCGGGTCAGAGCTCCAATAATAACAGGATTTTGTTAAAATATACAGCCCTGCGTTGCAGATTTGTTGTAGGCCTGGCCGAAACGAAGAGTCACAGTGATGCATGGAACAGCTTACTCCTGCAAAGAGAACTAGAAGAATTTGTCTCCAGCTTCTGTGAACCAGGAGAGAGACAGAAAGGGAGAGTTCAGAACTGCCTGGTTCTGTGGGAATAAGCGCCATTATCAGTGTTTGTCCATCCACATACTTGTCCAGGGGAGGCAAATGCCAGGCAAAGAGGCTCAGGGACGCAAAGCCAGGAAATCCTGGAGTTCTGATTCCCCTGTTTCTCTCAGACTCCCTCTCTGCAGCCTCAGCTCCCACCTCTTAGCCTCCTTGCACAGGGCCTCGTCTTTTCCATAACAAAAACAGCGATAATGAAAATATTTTGGCAGCATTCAGGGCCTTTCACATCGTGACCCAGACTTCCAAATCAATTTTCTTTATTCTTAACCTGACCTTGGCATCCATTCTCCCTGGCGTTCAATATTCGTTACAAAATCCTGAACTCCCCGAGAACCTTCCCTCCTCCCCCAGATAACCAAGGCAGGCCACACTGGTGAAGCTCCTGAGAGGAGAGAGAGAGGAAAAAAAATAAGGAGATGGAGGAGCCCGACGTGTTCTCTAGGAGTCTCATTTGCACCAAACGCCATTAGCCCCATTATTTACTCAGACAACAGTGGAGGCAGCCGTGCTCCCCTGCTTGCAGCGGGCGCTTGGATGACACCATGCATCACCGGTTGGCCGGCTCAGCGCTTCGCTTAAATAGTGATATGTAAGGTAGAGCCTGTTACCTTTAATCCATCACCCATGGGCTTGCCGAGTGCAGAGACTGGAAAAATTGCGCACATTTCTCCATTGCTGCCTGCATTAATAGTAGGAAGGGAGTGAACTGAAAAGAGAAAGTGCCAATTTCAGCACACATGTTAAAAAGAGAAGCAAAGAATAAAAGGAAAGAAAGCATCTCCCAGGCTGGGGTGTGGGGTAGTTTTTAAAGGAGAAGTGGCTTTTCAGAACTCTTGTGCATTTACTATGAGAATAAGCACCCACAGAAACAAGAGTTCAGGGTCATAATACATTTAGGAGGAGAAGTTAGCTGGCAGGGGCTATTTTTCTGCAAATTAGTTTTCTCTCAAGGGTAACCATGGGGGAGGAGCAGAGGAAAATGAATTGGAGCCATTGAATAATCGTGTATTGTTTGGCTGGTTGTGGGACCTCTGAACTGATGCTCCGAGAAGCCTTTCCAGGCCTTCCTTTTATATGGGCCAGGGTGGGAAACCTCTCACAGCTGTTGACGAGTGTCCTGTAGGGGCAGTGATGGGGACAGCAGCGTAGCCCCACAGACAATGGCCTACAGAGCGTCAGCTCCACTTGGCAAGAAAGGCACTGTCTGCTGGTCATTATTGCTGAGCACAGGGCTGGACAGGTGGCCGGGCAGGACAGTGAGAAGGGGCAGGGTCCCAAGTTTCTGCTGGTCACAAAGAACTGAGATGGGGGCAAGGCGGAAAAATACAACAATGTAACAGTAAATGATGGACCAGCTTTCCTGGGGGATGTTAATAAAGTGAAAATGAACGGTTCATCCCAAAGTGTTTGTGTCTGACTGTTCACAGGTCCAGATTCTGACTGAATGCTCAGCATCATGTTCGTCCTTCAGATTGTTTCCCATTCTCACTTTGCCATTCAAAAATGTTGCATCAGCTAAACCAGGGCTTCTTGGTTTCCCCTGAAGTGCCCCTAATGGCAAAGGAGCCAGAAGTTCAAGTTCAGGGACCTACAGGGAGCCTGAAAGCACCCTCCGCAAGGGAGACACTCCTGGGAAGTCTTGTATCTGTTTATCTTTAAAAAGCAACTAAAACCAATATATTGTGCAGTAGTTGGAAAGATTTAACATTAAAAATCACATTTTAAATGCCTTTATTTCCTCAATTCTAAGATATCATTCTAAGATGCAGCTTAATCTATCTCAGAAATAAAGACAGACAACCACCAGTATAATGCAGACCTTGACTGTGAGAGGCAACCATCCAGATTTCCAAAGCTTAAAGCGTGAATTAGAAAAATCTATGTCATAAAATCAAGGAAATAGAGTAATTACAATCAAGGAAAATGGAAACTTGAGGAAGTAACAATCAGTTTAATCTGTGGTTGCCGACACACTGGGGCATACTCCCGTTTGCAAAGTTTACGGAGGAGACGGCTATTGTAAAGTGGTGAAAAAGAAACTTCCCTGGTTGTAACCACCTTGTAATAAAAGTCTGTGTCCATTCACCCTGTGCTGTCAGAGAACAGTGTAGCACCGGGCACACAGCAGGTGCTCAGTAAATACCTGTCAAATTGCAAGTTGTTGATAGCAGTCTGAGGTCATTCTCCCCTCTGGGTAGCCTGTGGCAGGGTGTTGACTGTGGGGGGTGACATGTACTCAAGCAGTGTGACAGGCCACCCATCCTGGGAGGGCAAAGCAGGCTGGAGTATCATGTGGTGGGTGTCATCAGACCTCTGTCAGAGTCTAGGCACGGGGACCAGGTCCCATCTCTGCCACTGAGTAGTTGCTTGATCTTGGGATCTATCTCCTCTGGCAAAAGGAGGCATCAAGTCGCACCCTCTCAAAGATGTAGTTTACCAGTTCTTTGTTGTCAGTGCCATGAGTCGATTCTGACTCCTAGTGACCGTGTGGACAGCAGAGTGGAACCCTGCCTGGTCTTTTTGCACCATCCTCTCACCTTCTGGCTCTGTATCAGACAATGTTTTGTTGCTGTTCATAGGATTTTCAGGGCCCATTTTTTTGGAGTTGGGTGGCTAGGTCCTTCTTCTTAGTCTGTTTTGCCCTGGAAGCTCTGTTGAAACCTGCCCACCATGGGTGACCCTGCTGGCATTTCAAGTGTTGGTGGCATAGCTTTCAGCATCGCAGCAACAAGCATCCGCTACAGTGTGACAACCTACAGTGGATGGTGCGGTTCCCTGACCTGGAAATGAACGAGGGTCCCAGTGGTGAGGGCACTGAATCTTAGCCACTAGACCACCAGGGCTGGTTTTAACAATTCTCCAGTTCTGTATATTTAGATTTATGTTAAGAGAATTTTATTTTTTACCAGTCAGTGTGGGATGATGCTATTCAAGGGCTGAAGCAAGGACAGAATGGGGAAGAAAAGTCAGTTCTTCTCATCTCCACTGCACCTCTCCTGGGGAAGGGTGGAGAGGGCCCAGTGGGGTCCCTGCCTAAGAGGCTGCCCACTTCTGCGCCATTGGCCTTATTCTGGGAAGAAAAGCCTCAGAACAGAAGACATACTGCAAAGTGTGGTGAAAAACACTGCCATTACCGTATCACGAATTCACTGTAGATTAGGTAATTCACAAAGCAGGACACTGTAATTCTCAGTTTACCACTCCCCCACCCCCGCCTCGGTAGTCATTTTCTAATGCATAGCTCCCTTTGCACAGACAATCAAAGTCTGATCAAAGTGAACAGAGTCATCTTAAGTTAGTGTTATGTGGCATTGACTCAACTTTTTGTTGTTGTTAACACTATTTATTTGTTAAAATGACCCAGATTTTAGGGTCAAATCAACAGGAGCAGGAAATGAAAAGAAATAATTGATGGTTTCAAGTTAAAACACCAGGCAAAAATGCACACTTTTATTTAGTTCAGTGAAAAGTAAAATTGGTGCTTCTTAAAATGAAAATGTAGTGTTTCTCACTTGAAATTCCAAACTTACAAAAATAAAGTAGAGAGTAATGTTTTTAATCCTAAAAGGATTTTACTTTCTACAGTGATTCATCCTATGGTTCCAACTTCCTAGAAGAATTTGAAGTGCTATTTAATCCCTCTCCCAGTGAAAATTCATATGTCACTTTTTAAAATCAAATATATAACATTGAATATATTTCAATATAAATAAAACACAGAACACCCATATTCTTAAGATCTCTTTCCTAAAGTATGAAAGCTTTGAAATTCTATTATATTTACTCACTCATGTATTCATTCAAAAAATATTGATCAAGTCCTAATACATGGCAAGTATAGCACGAGTCCTGAGGATATATCCTCACCTCCTGACACTCTTTTCTTCTCCACAGGCTTCCATCTTCTCTGTGTCCCAGGAGCTGGGTGAAATTGTGGGTCTGATCCACTGGAGAAAGGGGTAATTATATTAGGATGACAAGTAATGCCCTTCAAGAAGGACACTGAAGTTGAAGCTATGGTAAACAGCCAAAATAAACTTTAAGTCAGAGGTCGAGGAATTTTACAGATGGAGATTGGCCTAAAGCAGTGCTCCTCAAAGCCTGGTCCTTGGACCAGTAGCGTTGGCATCACCTGTGAGCTTGTTGGAGGTGCAAACGCCTGGGCCCTGGCCCTGACCCTGACCCGCTGAATCAGAGTCTCTGGGGATGAGGTTCAGGAAACTGTGTTTTAACAATACTCCAGGTGCTTTTGATGTACATGAAAGCAAGAGAACCACTGCCCTGAAGTTAATTAGGCTTCACCAGGGCAAAGCCCCTGAAGAGTCTTCTTTCAGATCCTAACAGCATCACCAAGTGAGTTCTATCACATGCCCGTGATATCTCTAGTAATCTTCAAAATCACACAGGAATCTCCCAACCAAGTCATTTATGCAAAGTTCCGACGCAGGGAGAAAAATAGCAAATTCTCAGTGATAATCAAAAGGGAAAATATTTGGACAGGTAATTTTAGGAACCAGCTATGGATCGCTATGTACAATAATGAAGTTGAGCAATTAGGTTTGGAAAGCCACAGCACAGAAAATAATTAACCCACAAAGTAATCATCTTGTAAGTCCCAAAGCTAATGATTAAAATGAACCTAAAACAAATGATTGTTTAACTTTTAAGCTGTGCTTGTTTTAGCCACAGTGTACTTCAGGTGTGAGCTCCTGGGAATTCCTCCTGCCTGCCGAGACTGGCTTTGGGACAAGGGCGTGTGTCCATTCTTCTGCCTCTCCTTCCCTGGGGAAGTTTGCTTGAGCATCACAAAATACCACTCCTGTGTGGGGCAAGGAGGTTGGCTCGGCTGCTCAGCCCTGCTCAGCACTGGGGTGCACCACACCCCAGAATTTAGTCTGCAGCTGTGGTGGGCTTCAGCCATATTGAATCCTATATAACCTTGGAGGCTGAGAAGAACGCTTCGTTTTTATGCAGCTTGCTTTGCACTTTCATTGGTGGTTTATTACTGCAAAGCATGGCGCTCCCCTCCCCCACTCGCCTCTCCTCCCAAAGAAGTGAATTAATAACTAGAAAATGAGACAGAAACAAGATCTAGAAGGGCCCGAGCTGCTGAATGTCACTGTGAGCAAACAGCAGTGGAGAGAAAAGGTTCCTTTCCATCTTTCTGTGCAGTGCTGTCTGTGCATTGACTTGTTTCCTGACACGGGCGCCATGGCTTGAAAGGAATTCAGGCCCCAGCAAATTTTGCATTGCGCTTCAATGTGGCCTCTGGGATTGAATAAGGGCAAATCTATTATACTGTTGCCATGGAGACCCTGGCACAACTGCTGATAAAGAGTGTCTGATGTTTGGTAGGCCTCGTAGCATGGTACATACCATTTAAAGAACGGCATGTGTGAGTGTGTGTGTGTGCGTGTGTGTGTGTGTTTAGCATGCATGTGTGAATCTGTAAGAGAGCAAGTGTGCCTGTGTGTGTGGGAGGAGTGACTGGGGGAGGCGGAGTGGAGATCAGGGTGCATGGGGAAGGAAGGAAGAGAGGCTGGCTTGGCGGATCATGAAGGAATGTTCTGTATTTTTACAAAGAATTTGTAAATACTTTCTTGCCTCTAAAAAATTAATTCTGCCTTCTAAGAATCTACACGTTAAACAGATGGGGGCAGCAGAAGATACACATACAGACTGTCCCCTTGATCTAGCAAAATTAGTCTTTAATTCATCTGAAAGAGAATTAGGCTAATACAATAAAAGTGAAAATGCGCTCTTTTGCATCTTTTGATGGATGCTGCCTCCATTCAGCTGTCTGTCTGAGGATCAATAGTGGGCCTTCAAGGATTGCCAGCATTTGCTAAAGCGGACTAGCAAGATGATGGATTTTAATCATTCAAATGATTTTATAACCACAAAACAAAGAAGGCTGATCGTCCTTTCACATGCATAATCTCAGTTTTGCTGTTATGGATTTTGCCAGTCCTCAATTCACTTCCTGTCTGGAAGGCAAATCTCACCCTCCCCAACTTCCATCCCGCACATCCATTTCTGGCTCTCTGTGCTCAATATGGGCAACTTGCATTTTTTTATTGGTGCCCTTTTTTGCATCAGCCCCAGACCCGGAGAGGGATGGCACGTTAAGCCCGAGCCGAGCCTCCCGGTTGGCGTGGTTTGAGGCGAGCCATCTCGGGCAGAAGCACCTACAGTAAGCAAGCTTCAGAGCGTGTGGCTGTAACAATGGGAGGCCGGGCAATCTGCGACAGTTGATAGGATTATTATTATTACAGAGCGCAAAAAGCTTCTGCTTTCTTTTCTGCTGCTTTGCAGACCTCATAAGGCCTCTCTGTGATTTCTGCATAGTTAATTTGTCAGTTTATAAATTACCACATTATGTTAACGCTGAATGCTTCAAAACACAAATATATGCACAGAGGGCTTGAATATTTGAAGTGTTTTAGTACTATGGGGAAATAATTTTGTTGTCAAGCTGTGGCAGATATAGAACTGCTAGGGGATACATGGCCATTTCATCAGGACTGTGTCGATGATGGCCTGTGAACATCCAACGGGGAAAATCATCTTTTATCACTATTGTGTACCGTGCTGGTCCAGATGGAGGATAAAACATGCATGAGTTGCCCGCAGCTCTGAAAATAATTATACTCATTTGCCAGAAATGTAGAAAGTGCATCCAACCAAGTTACCACCCATCATAGTGACACTCCGTTTGCATACTGATGAAGTTTAAAGCCAGAGACAATGGTGTGGGTATCAATAGCGAAGGGGGGGCTGGGCACCACCAGTGCCGAAGGATTAATAGCACCATCATTTTATATTATGCAGCATTTCACTTATGCTGCATATCAAAAGACTACTGCCTCTGAGGTTCACCTCACTGTTTATAAGATTACGGTTTGCTTTAAGACTCTACACGTTAGTGTGGATTCTTTTCAGTTTCCACAAATGAATGCAAAAATATCTGTGTTCGATAAAGTGCCTAGAATGTAATTATGGGTAAATATGTTTGGATGCCATTATATGTGCTTGCGTGTGTGCATATGTGTTTGTGAGTGCGGGTGGGTGTACACATTCCCACATGCACACTCATGATTTTGGAAGACGGCAAAGGAATATGAGAAGATAATATGCGCATGCTAAGTCCTGGTGCCACTGCAGAGTAATTGATGAATGGGTTTTTAAAATGTAGAAAGAGAATGAATACAAGTAGGACCCGGGAGAATAATTCTTTATATTGCAATCAGCTCAGCTTATATGTACTTGCTTTAATCGTAGAAATCAGCAATAAAACACATAGACTTGGTTATTTAATCCTTACTGAGTAAAAGAGAATGTCTTGTAATGACCCTCTAAAATATTACAAAATATTAAATTATTTTGATATGCCTCTCATTTTTAGACAACTATAAAATAATCAGCACATTCATTACCAGAGGATTAATAGATTTCTTTAAATTTTTGAATCCAGCAAATGTACATGTGTGAACTGAGAAGAGGCACTTTCCTCATGGAACACTGAATTCTCATAGGTGTTCCACGGTTCAAAAATAGCCCAATCATGATGTTGTCACAATGCTTATTTTTAAGTAATGATTTTAATTAAGCCCTCTAAGAAGGAAACAATTTTGTACCTCTCTTATAGGGTCTGTACTCTGATGATTACACAAGTGCAGTTTCCCATTTTACTCTGGTGTCATGGGGGCAAAGATAACAATTTCCATCTCATCGCAGGAGAGAGACGCTATGCTTCACTCTGCACAAGGCTTCAGTGTAATCAGAGGAAGGATTTTACACTAAAAATTACAAAAAAATAACCAAGGAAAAAGTACAGTTTCAACAGAAGTGGGTCAAAGACAGGAACAGAATGCAGGATACCACATAATATTTTCATGTGGCAACAAATATGGATTTTTCCAACTAACTGGGGTGGATTGGACCAATAGTATTTTTTACAGCTTTTCCAGTTCTACTTGCCTTAGAATGGTCTTTGAAACATGGAGGGAACAGGGAATCCTCACAGCTCAATGATGAGTGATTGAGAGAGAATGAGGTAAGCAAGCTAGGACCCAGAAAGACTTTCAGATGAGTAGGCAGCAGGATGCACTCTTGGTATATTGGGCACCGAAAGGCAGATTTACAGAAATGTTGCTTCTACTTCCCTTTTCCTCTGCTGTTGTATTGGCTATAATGAGAATACCATTGGGATAATGCTAAACACCATAGGACACTTGAAACTGTCAAGATCCAAATTTTTCAGGGAAGTCCTAGGAATGCCCAGTGGGTCAAAAACTTCTGAGAGAAACAGGTAATACATCTGTTTAAAGTTTAATGAGAAGTTAGACCAATTTTCTGGTTTTCAGAGTTGTTGTTATTTACCAGTTTTTACTTACCTGAAGTTCTTCCCATGGTCTCGGGTCTCAAAGGAAAAAAAAAATGAACAAAGAGACAGACAGAGACATACGTGCACAAACATGAGACTTTGTCAGGAAGGTAGATGTGATAGGAACAAACTTTAGAGAATGCTTTACCACGTGGCAGATGTAATAAATATATCATATATATGTTATATATCTTAAAGATATGTGTGTCTTTAATTCTTATAAAAAAGAGAGATAAATAAGAGTCATTTGAATGCAAGTTCTGTCTGACTTCTAAGCCCACACTGATTGTATCATACAATGTGTGCCAGGGCTTTAAGACTATATAAAAATTACATAAAGAGCTAAGTACCATGAGACGGGACAGGTAAGGCCTCTGTGCCAATGAGGGAATGAAGTGAAAAAGAAATAAAAGACAGTATCAATTAATGAGTGATCTTGATAATAATGGCAATTAAATATTTGAATGCCAAGGGTGTTCTCAGTGAAAAAGTAATTTGTGCCTTTTGGTGACAAAACACTTTGGGGGATAAATAAATCAGGAAATAATTTTTCCTACATAATACAGGTGAAGCATCAAATGGTCTCATTGAATGCAAACAGTTCCTCCTTTCTTTACCCTATTGACAGTCTTCATTGTGTCAGAGAAGGTGTTAAAAACAAAAAAAGAGCTCTTCTTCTCCTTCTCCCCCTTTTCTTCTTGAGCAATTCAGTCCTAATGTCTTTAGGTAATGCAGACCAAAGTTGGCATCTATTCCAAAAGAAGGGGGGAAGCCACAGTGGCCCAGAATGGGTGTCAGAGCCTGAGTGGACTGAGGCTAGTGTAGAGAAGGGTGGCCTGACATAGGGTATCAGAACTGAGCAAGGTAACAAGTGTGGCCATGCAGGGAATTGGCCCAGTGTGGGGAGTTAGAGCAAATGGAGTGAGGAGGGCATCCATGGTGGGCAGGACAGTGTGGCACAGTGAGTCAGAATCTAAGCAGAATGAAATAGGCATCCTTGTGTGAAGTGGCCCAGCATGGGGAGGGATCAGAGCCCACCTAGTGTTGCAGATTGTCTATGTAGAAAGATGACTGGGCACGGAGTGGCAGAGTATACACAGGAAGAGAATGGTGGTAGAAATAGTAGATTGGTTACACACAAGACTATTGCTCAAATAAGTAAATATATTAAGAGATTATTCATGGTTGGAGAAGGGAGTTACAAATATGGAAAGTAAGAAAACTAGAAGAAATTTTGCAACGTTGGTTTAGAATAGGAGACATCAGTGTGACTCATGATTTTCAACATGCATAAATAGATATAGAAATAAATATATATGTAACATAAACTCCTTGGTTCTGCCCACCGTGAGGACCTGGGAATAGCAATAATCCAATAGTGATGAGTACACTTAGTGCCCAGATCTTGGCTTCTAATACCATTCACCACTAAAAGGAGCCAGGACTTTTTGGAGAAATGGCTGATTCCAGGGCTGGGGCAGGGAAGATACAAGATGAGCCTTAAGTATCTCATTTTTTGGAAAGACAATTGAAGCAAAAAGAGGTTAAGTAACTTGCCCAAGTCACATATCTAAGAAAACTGCAGTTGAATTCTGTGTGGGTGGCACCACTCTAAAAGAGTGAGAAGAAAAAACATTAAAATCTAGAATGATTCGCCACTCAAATTGTTTGACAAATATTTTTAAGTTCTTTTAAGTTTTAACTCCTCTTTAAAGAAACACACAGTGGAAATCAGAGATGATGCACCATGGCTGGGGTTTATACAAGAACAACACCATGGAGCTCTAATGAGGAGATTGAGTCGCAAAGGGAAACTATCAAATAAAATATTTAAGGTATTTACATATCACTCTTTATAACTTTCACACTTTGACTGACTTTAGTAACTAACCAAACAACTCCTAGCCCTAATCACCTGTGATAAAGAAGGCTTCCCCTGCCACTTGATAAAGTCTATTCCTACTTGCAACAAAGTCGGTGAGGAGGTAAGGCAATTCTGGCTTGCCATCGATGATGTGTATGGGGGCCTGAGTGTTTTCTGAGTGTTTCAATAGCTGTGAAACCTTGTCCAAATCCTTAACCACTTTGTGTTTGGGTTTTTCTGCCTGTAAAGTAAGGGACTTGGACCAGAGAATTTCTAAGATGCCAGTGAGTCACCTTGTTCTATTCTTTTTTTCTCTCATTGAGGTGGCTGAATATGCCTTAAGAAACTCATTCAGTGGTTAGTTTAGGCTAATATTCTGCCATATTGATGGCCTATGTCTCAGCCAAGATGGCAGATTAGCTAATCAAGAACCTCCAACTCCTGCATGGACCTCAGGCCTGGATGGCTGTCAGTGGCCATGTGTAAATGATTAATGAAATGACACAGCGAAGATTCCAACTCTGAACCACCAGCCCAGGTTGTTAAAGATAAGGCAGCCCAAGTCACCTTTCTCAGCTCCTGTCCTTCTTAGATTAAAATCCTGTCTCTCCCTTTCTCTCCTCCCCTCCCCCAATTTGGAAACTGTATTAATGCCCTTATCTCATTCAGATTACCAGACACACTATGAACACTATTGTATCTCATAGTCTATTGATCCGTAGAGATCTTTTCTAGCTAAACTGTTTAAAAGTTTGAAACAATCACAAACTTAGAGAAAAGTTGCAAGTAGGGTACTAAGAACTTTTTTTCTGAACCATTTGAAATACACACTATAGTGTTTGGGGATGATGAGGCATTGGGCTGGCAATTTTTTTTCTAAATCATAGGGTTGTTATAAGGATTAAATGAGTTAATATATGTGGTAGGCAAAATAATGCTCCCCCCCTTCACGAAATATGGAAAGGGAGAAAACTAGAATGAACCTTGTGGTGTTGGTTTGGAATCAGAGATATAAGTGTGGTTTGTGGTTTTCAATATAAATAGATAGCTATAGAAATAAATATAGGTGGAATATATATTCCTTAGCTCTGTCCACTGTAAGAACCAACAGTGGTCAATATACTTAGTGCCCAGAACTTGATTTCTAACACTATTCCCCACTAAGTTACCAGGACTCCTTGGAGAAATGGCTGATTCCAGGGTTTGGGCAGGGAAAGTACAAGATGAGCTGGAAACGACTTGTACCAAAAGCAAGGAAGTGCTCAAGAATGATGGGGATATATCAAGCCAGTTGGAGGGGGCTGGTAGTGGCAAAATTGGTGGCAATTTAAGCATTAAAGGAATTATGTTAATAGATTATAACCCATGAATAAAACAGGATATTATGAGTTCTTATGGAGATAAAGAAAGAATGAATGAATTGAAAGTTGGATGAGAAACATGGTTTCAAAGTACCTACTCACAAAATACTTATGAACAATGAAAGAAAAAAGAGTAGCTTTAGAGTGGAAAAGTTTTTCATATTCCATCTTAATCAAGTGACCCAAGTAAATACCATTAGCAGTGGGACAAATAAACACTGTGTAATATCTGATCAAATGCACTGAAAGGAACACAGCATCACCTCATCACTTGTATGATATTCCCAAATAAAAGCATGAGGACACACTGGATGAATTCATAATGAAGAACATTCTACAAAATAACTGGCCTGTAATCTTCAAAACTGTCAAGGTCATGAAAGTCAAGAAAAGATCGTGGACCTATTCCAGATTTGAGACGACTGAAGAGATGTGACAATTGATTGCAATCTATGATTCAGAACTGGATTCTTTTACTATAAAGGACATTATTGAAACAACTGTCAAAACTTGAATGGGGTCTGAGGGTTAGATGATAGTAATGTTAATTTTCTGGTTTTGATGGTTATATTGTGGTTATATAGGAGAAAGTCCTTGTTTGTAGGAAACATGAGATAATCCCTATATATATAATAACAGAGTCAGAGTCAGAGAAGGAGATGTGATGATAGAGGCAGAGGTTGGAGTGATGTGATTTCTGGAAGCGGGACATGAGCCAAGGAATGTGGGCAGCCTTTAGAAGCTGGAAAAGACAAAGAATGGATTCTCCCCTGAGCCTCCAGAAGAATTGCAGTCCTGCTGACACCTTGATATTAGTCCTAAAGGCCCATTTTGGAATTTCTTTGGAATCCAGAACAGTGAGAGAATAAATCTATGTTCTTTTAAGCCACTAAATTTGTGATAATTTGTTACAGCGTCAAGAGGGAACTAACGCAATACGCGTGAAGCACTTAGAACAGTACCTGGCATCTGATAAGCACAAACATTTTTTATTCTTGTTGTTGTTATTCAGTCTTCCCAAAGCACTCAATTTAGTTTTCATAGGATCAAGAACTCTGTTTTTGTACTTAGATTTTGTTGGTTCGTAGAATATTCGATAATATAATGTATCTGCAGTACAGGTGGTGTAAACACGTTTGTGAATAAACAAATGCAGTCGTTGTAAGTGTGCTGCCTGTTCTGCATTTGTCCCTCCAGTTCTGCCCTGCTCTGGTCTCTGGAGGCTGACCATATGGACTGTATCATGCCTTGTTTGCCCCTGGATTCAGGGGCTTCTATGGAGACATTGGGCAGGAGATCAAAGAGGAGGAGAAGAGTAAAGTCAGGGTGTTGTCCCGCCAGCTCCTGCCCTATTGGCCAGTCAGTTAGCAGTGGCTGCCTTCCTCTTCCAAAGGCCACAGTGCCTGTTGGGTGGCCTCTTGTGTGGCTCTCTCTGTCTCTGGTAACCTCTCCTTGATCTGCTCCTTCAGGCTTAGGGGTGGTAACAGCTCTCAGCCGTTGCTAGTCCCTGGTGCTTCATCATCGTATATTAACAGTGCCTCTGCCAATTCAATGAACTCTCCTTCATTATGCCCATTAGGTGTACTGTCCTGTGTGATCGTGACCAATACAGAAATTACTCACACATTTCCTCTGCAGGGAGCACAAATGCTCAGGAATGCTATAAGGTCCTTCAGTGTCTTAGTAGCCATTAAGTGCCTAGCACAACTTGGCCATAAAGAAAGAATGTAAAGCATTGCTCTAGCTGGTGAGCCTTGTCAACATCCTTCAGCCAAAACCCACCAGAAACACACCTGTAAGTTGAACAAGGTGGCTTTAGTACTTGCTGCAGAGAAGGAGAAAGCACACTAACGGGGACATCTCAGCAAGTTAGAAAGGACTTCTTATAGGATGTGGGCATGTGTTGGTGATTTGGGGGACGGTTTAAGGAAGCAGGCCTTTGCTCTGGATTGGATGCTGTGAGGAAGCAGGAGTAATTCCATGATTGCATATCTCAACAAATCGTATCTATAAGGAGGCCAGGATAGACCAAGGATAAAGCTGTAACTGGTAAAGAAGCGTCAGTCACTCATATTAGCTGAGGGAAGGGGGATCTTTAGAATTTTGTGGTTTGCACGTTGTTCTTGCTTTTGTCTGTGTTCAGACATGATCACAGAGCGGTCATGTTTCTGTCTTGATCCACCAGGGTCACAGCGTGGTCTTGTCTGATGTTAATGTTCTGTGAATTTGTTTTGCTCACCAGGAGAACACCAGGGCCTACAAGTCAGTGCCAGAAGAGCTTTTAGCAATACCAAGGCGCATCTGGAAATCAGAGCATTCTTTTCTTTTTCTCAGCCTGTTTCATGGAGGTCGAAGTATGATCTGCATTAGAATCACCCGCAGAACTTGTTAAAATGTAGATCCCAGGGCCCTGCCCCCAGACCTACTGAAATGATGTCTAGGGGGAGGGCTGGAAATCCGTATTTCTAATTAGGATGCTGCATCATTCTGATGCACACCAGAATTTGAAGGCCAATGGTCTAAAAAGAGAGACATCACAAACCCAGGTTCACAAACCTAGATTTGTGGCAACCATTCACAGTGTGAGACATCAAGCACTTAGCTGTATGTTTAGATTTTCCTTAGTCTCAGGATCCAGTACTTTGAAGCTGGAGAATTTTACCTCAGTGGAAGCGGCTTTTGAATTTACAAGGTCATCTGTGCTTACACCTTGTGTGCCAGTTTTAGAAAAACCTCAACTAAGGAGGTCAACCTGTAAGTGACAGAAGAGAAGGGGCTGGTCACCTATTACCATAAATCAATAAAAAGTAGACACCAGTAGAAAGGCTGCTGCCAAACAGAGGAAAAAACCCAACAACAATGAGGGATTGCTTCCAAAGGCAGCGGGAACATTCACAAGGGTAACCCATAATTCCAGAGGCAGAGCTTTTCAAAGACGCATGACTGAAATCCCATTTAACGAGACGAACTATCTAGCAGAAATGAGATGTTTTAACGGCAAACTGTTTAGTCACTGCAGATAGAAACACAAAAATCTTCTGCAAAGGAACGTTCTCAAGAAAGAACACAAAGAGAGCAGAAATGAAGAAGTTAATTGATTCTAAAACCACGACTAGGAGAATATTTGGAATTTTCAAGTGTCAGAGAAGGAGCACCAAAAGTGTAAGATGGAGCCTAATAACGAACTTGATGCTGAACCTGTTTTTGAGGCATTAGTGAGATTCGACTCTTTAGGGTGACAGGAGCAAGGAGACTTGAGCCTCAGACATCATCACCAAATCTAACTTAGGACGCTTTTTTTCCCCAGTGAAGTTTTCTGCTCTCAGCTGGGGAAGAGCTAAGCTCACCACAATCAAATAACCCCACCAAACCTT